CTGGGACTTTGCTGCCCCTCACTGGCCCTCGCCTCCTCCTCAGAGCGCCCATCACGGCTTCTGCTGGCTCAGCCCCCAGGGCCCAGATCTCAGTATCTTGTGCCCCGCCCCCACCCGAGTTCAGGGCCTTTCATCCTAAGCCTCTCATATCCTCTCAGTAGAGGGAGTAGCTATCACTAATTAAGGCCAAAAATCTTGAACAATTTTCCCCTCTGGACTGCACAGAACAAATCCTGACTGACAGGCTACTGCCCCCCAGGCCCTTTCAGGCTAGGCCAGCATGGGGGGAGGGGGGCTCCCAGGTAAGAGGTGTTGGAGAGAAGAGGGGTGGCCTAGGGAAGGAAGCTGGGAAAAGTGGGGTCAACCAGCCTGGAGGGATGGAGCAGGCCCTCACAGAGGGTGGTAAAGGCTGAGGGGTCCAGCGCCCCACACCCAGCCTCTCCCCTTCTAGCATGCAGGGGGGCCCTCCCCTCCAGGTGTTAGCGTCAGAGGGGCGCCCACTGTGTTGGCGTGACACAGCAATTTAGCTTAGTGAAATTGGAAGGTGTCTTGCTGCTCCCCGGGGGAGCTTTGTCCCCAGCCCAGCGCATCTCTAGTCCTTCCCTTTCATGCCTTTTCCTGTAAGAACAGTTTCCTGAGCTGAGGGAAATTGATTGTTAAGTGAAACTCTCTGATAATTGCCTCTGAAATGCCCGCTGTTATCATGATGGACTTGGCGGTGAGCATCCAGCTCAGCAATCCCACCACACCTTGGTCCCAGAGGGGACATCGCAGGCCAGGTCAGCAGCCACTGGGTGGCAGCATCCCTTTCTGGGGCAGCCCCTACCCTCCGCAGTGTGAAGAGGGAAAGAGGCTCAGAGGTGAAGCCACACCCCTGTGGCCACAGGCGGCTGGCCAGGCTGAGTCAAACTCAAACCCAGACCGCTACCTGCGCCAGAGACACCCTGGTCTTGACTCAGCAGATGTTCAGCCACTGTGTGCCGGGAGCTGGGGTTCTGTGTACTCAGCAGCGGCCCTTTACAGCCCCCGCCCTCAGAGCTCAAGGAAGAAAGCAGAGAAGGTAGAGGCTTCTCTGAGGGCCGCGAGCAGGACAGACGGGGCTCCGCAGGAGTCAGGGAGGGCTAGGAGGAGTCTAAACTCAGCCCTCCAGGTAAGGGGATCACCTGGTGGGGGGTTGGGTGAGAATAGACAAGAGAACACAGGAGCAGGGTCCTGGTGGCAGGAGAAGCAGAGACCCCAGGGGGAGCAGCAACTCAGGTCAGGGTGGGAAGGAAGCTTCTCTCCCATGGGGAAGACCCGAGAGAGGCACTAGGGGGGCCAGCCTTGGGCAGGGGGCAGGTAGAGCTGCAAACCCATCTGGGCAGCTCTGAGCAGGTCCGGCCTGGAGACAGGAGTGGCGGAATGTGCCGAGTGCCTCATGGGTGGGGGGTGGCGGGAGATGGATGCATGGACTAGCAGGAACAATGGAGGCTTCCAGGTAGACTAATCGAGCTGCATGGGATGATGGGGCCCATGTCCCAGGCTGAAAGAGATGGGCAAGGACCTTAACTTGGAGCCCACAGGAGCAACTCCAGGGGACTGGCCTTGGCAGAAGGGGCCTTGCAAGAACCGCCCTCTTTCCCAGTCGGTTCAGCTACAGTCTCCGATGTACAGGCAGGAAAGTGAGGCCCAGGGTGAGGGGAGGTCATATGCTCGAGGAAACCGGGGTTTGAACACAGGCCAGCACTCCAGGCTCCAGGCTCTGGTTCCCACTTGGGGCCCCTCACGCATGCCAGTAGGTAGCCCCAGTTCTCCCACCCCTCGTCCCTGGGCCCTGCAGACTGTGTACAGCCACCGCCTGCCCATTCCACCCCCAGTCAGCTGCTTCTGCCCTTCCTCCCACACCACCAGGACTGTGTGTTTAGCAGTTTCCACACGTCCAGCGCCCGGGGATGGACTGATTGATCTGTAACACCGAAAAAATAATAATGGCTTGATCGTTACTGAGGATTAAAAGTAATCCTTTCGCTGTGGCTATTGCAACTCCGTTATTCACGAGTCAGCGGGCTGACCTGGGCCTTCAAGCCCGTGGGACTCCACGAGTTCAAGGAGGCTGGCGGCTGGGGCCTCCCTCCCTGGGTCTCCCTCGCCTTGGCTGCCAGAGAGGCTGCAGGAGCCGTGTGCCTGGTGCCTGTGAATCCCAGCGTCAGAGCTGAGCCCCGAGAACATGAAGGAGCTGGTAACTCCTGGCCTGAGGAGACAGCTCCTCAAGGCCAAGGCCCAGTTTGGAGACTCCCACTAGTGTTTGTAACCCCATCAACTCAGTGGCAGGGGGACCTGGCCAGACTGCTCCCACACCTGCCCCAGCCTCTGGGCAAGGAAAGAGGGCATGGAGTGATAAGCCCAAGTCTCCACCCCCGGGATGCTCCCTCTCACCCAGGCCAGGTAGAGAGCTTGCAGGTGCTCGAGTAACATCAGTGACATCTTGTTCACCACACATGTCACACCGTGATGACCATCGTGGAAGGCTGCTGCAGGCTTGGGGTCAAAGTGGGGTTAAGACGTGGTTTAGGGGGCCCTCTCTGATGGTGCGGGTTAAAGCACAGCACTATGAAGCTATGGCAGCCTCTGCAACACGAGTTCGATCCCAGCCAGGGAGGTGACCCACGTGGTATGGCAGACCTCTCCTGATCGCTGCTCCCCTCAGCAGTGTACTTCGTCAATATGCCTGTTCTGCTCCCCACACTGACTCTGGTGAATCTTCTCAGTGCCCGCACCTCTGGCCTGTACCCCAGTTCTTATGTGCATAAATAAATAAATCTTTAAACAAAAAAAAGAAAAAGAGAGAGAAAGAAAAAGATGTGGCTTAGGCTCAAAGGAGGCCCAGAAAGGAAAATAAGGAAGAGGAGGTGGGCACAGGTAGGCCTTTAACGACTTCAAGAAAACTTCCCCTTTGATATGCAGAGGAATGGGGAGTTGCTGCATAGTTGTGGGGGGGGCAGTCAGGGGAAAATGGGGCTGGCCACATAATCTGATCCATATTCGAAGGCTCCAGGTAACATGTGGAGAGTAGAAGACGCAGGGCAAGAGAGGACAAAGGAGCTTGGGGTGGGGGCGACAGAGACTAGGCAAAGGACACATAGTAGGTGGTTCAGTGAAGTCAAAGAGAGGGCAATGGTCCCGCAGTGCATGGGCTCACCCCAAGAGGGGATGTTGTGAGCCCACACCCCAGGAAGATGCCCCGGAGCTCAGGAGGGGCAAGATGTAGGAACAGCGAGGCCTGTGGTTCCTGGAGCACAGGCATGTGAGGCCTAGTAAGGGGAATAGCAGGAGAGGAAAGTGGAGGCCAGGAGGGACTCACACTTGAAGAGAGGGTGTGTAAGTCTGAGGGGAATTCCCTGCCCCGTGCGCATGAGTGCCTGTCACCTAGTTTCCCAGCTTCAGCTCTCTTGGCCTGAGGAGGAGAGGGGCCCAGGCCTCGCTCTGGACAGTCTCTAACCGCCTGGGCTGGCATCCTGCCCCAGAGAGTAGAGGTCAGAGCTCTGCAGGGAGTCCCCTCCCAACCCCCCCCCCCCAACACACACACACACACATTGCTTCTTGTCAGGAGAGAGGGAAAGCTGGTCTCTGCCCTAATGGAAAGCTGCCAGGCTTTGGTGGAATCTCCCTCTGTGTGCCCCACAGGCCTGACTGGTGGTTGCGAGCATAGTGTCCCAAACACCAAGGCCCTCCAGAACAGGCCTTCTGAGCTGGGGCGGAGACCTGGAGGCAGGACCATGGGATAGAGCAGGATGGGATGGGAGACCACAGCCACGCTAGCTTCACCCAGGCAGGTGGCCCTGTGGACTGGGCCTTCGGACCTTGGTCATGGCCAGGGCAGGGCAAGTGCTGTGGTGAGGACCAGGGTCAGGATCCCAGCCTGACCCAAACTCACTGTGACCGTATGCAGTCTGCTCAGTTTTGCCTGGATGTCCTCACCTAAGGAGAAGTGCCAGGCACGACGTGAACCGTGACAGAAACACGTGGCATGTGGCTGGCCTGGGGGGTACTTGGCATGAGTAGATGGCCAGTTAGTCATAGCCAGTGAAGGCCAGTAGGATTTCGCTGCTCAGGGCTCAGGCTTAGTCCCATCTGGGACCCCCAAGACTTCCTGGAGGGACAGTATCCATGGTTAAGCATCTCTGGGCAGCTGGGGGCCAGACCCTGCAGGTGGCCGAGTCCCAGACCTCCTCCAGGGAGCCTTCCCTCGTGTACCAATTTCCCACTGCACTGAGCTTCCCAGAAGCACAGTGGCTCCTCCTGCCCGGTGGTTCTGCCTGCTTTTGTGTCTGTCTCTCCCTCTGGACGGCGTGAGGCCAGGGCTCTGCAACACCTCACGCACAGCACAGCCTGGCACCAGGTGTGACTGGTACAAGGTGGGGAGGCCTGGTGCAGGAGCCTCAGAGGAGGACACAGCCCCAAGGCCAGGCCAGACCCCTGGGAGGGACCTGGAACCCCTTCTGGGAAGGGCTTAGGAAGGAGGGAGAGGTCAGCTGTGATGGGCCTGGCTCGACAGAGATGGGCTCTGGACACCTCCTGCTGGGCCCTGAGTCAGTGGGGCAAAGACTTGTCGGCGAGACACCCCGCCACTTGTAGTGGTTTACTCTTTGCTGGGCAGCGCCTTCTTTACCAGGAGCACCTCTTCTTGACTCTGGCTTTCAGGGGGTAGGGAATGGGGCTTGAGTCCAGATCTTGGTCCTGCTGTGTATAGGGGGTCCCCCTGTCATCCATGGACAGGCGAGCTGCCTGACTGATGGGGAGTGCCGTGGAGATGGCCTCACCTCACCTTTCCTGTGAACCAGCTGGGGGCAGGGAGGGGCCCACACAGCAAGCCAGGGAATGTCTGAACCGAGCAGTCTTGAGGGTCTAGCAGGATGGAGGGAGGCTGAGCCAGCCTGGCCCCAGAGAGCGCTGGGGCGGAGAAGGATTCGGGGTGAACGCAGGCCCTCCGCAGCCTGACCTCCTTTTGCTCTTTCCTTCAGAGACTGGCTGACGCGGCAGAGGGCTTCCAGAAAGCCCACCGCTGGCAAGACAACATCAAGGTAAGAACTGCAGTGCCTCCCCAGCCGCTGGGTGCTGCCAACCCAGCGGGGGTGTGAATGTGGGGGAGGGGAGTCTCCCAGACCCACTGGAAGGGTGCCAAGGGCTCCGTCAAACATTCAGCAGACATCTGTGGCTTCCTTGGTGATGGGACACGGGGCGCAGTCACAGGCTCTCGGTCCAGCCCAGAGGAGCTGTAGAGTCCCGCGGGTGGGCATCTGAAGAGATGCCCTTCGAAGCTGGCGACTCCTTGGTGGTTATGGGGTCCCCAGACTCCTTGAAGAGCTGCTGGCACCTCTTGATTTCGGTTCTTTTCAGAGACTTTAATACACTGCCCTGAAAGGCTCCACCCCCTTGCAGGCCTTCCCTGCCCGTAACCTAACCGTCTCCCAGGAGGCCCTCGGGCTGCACAGCCACATGCCTCTCCTCCCACCTAGTACAGCTCAGAAGGGGCTCAAGCACCAAGGGAGCGGGGGTGTGAGAAGCCAGTGCAGAGTTCTAGAGGGCGGGAGGGCCCAGAATGGGCAGGGCGGGGAAGCCACTGCCCAGCATCATGCCCAGGTAGCCCTCACCAGCTGTGTTTGACATTGGGCCTGGATACACCTTCACCCTTTTCTGTCAGATCAGGGGCTCAGAGGGTCGTCATAAACTGGAAGGGAAACTGAGGCAGCATTCCTCCCAGATTCAGGGAATCCCAATGCCAAGGGTACTGGAGCCGCCAGAGGTCAGAACAGCCGGCAGGCCTCGCTGGCCTCCACGGCAGCCTGGGCAGATCTGGGCGGTGCCTCGTGGTGGGCTCTCTGCTAAACACAGGGAGAGGCACCGAGCGCTGCCCTCTGGGACCGGGGGACCAACATGGAGACAGTAACGGGGGACAGGGACAGTCCCTGACAAACTCCAGCCCTAGATCTGGAGAGGCAGGAGGGAGATGGGTAAGAAAACTGAGGCCGAGAGTGGTCTGGTCACCCTCCCCGAGGTGACCTGTAGGCATGATCCAGGCCACTTGAAGCTCTTGCTCCTCCCAGGCCTCATCCCCCAGACCACTCTGAGCCCTGCCACAGCAGAGCCTACACAATAGCATGCTTTCTCTGCTGCCAGGCCAAGCTAGGTGGTCCCCAGCCCTAAGGCTGCAGGAGCTGCCCCCTGCTGGCCTCCTTCCCCTCACCCCCACACCCAGCCCCATCCTGTCCTCCAGCCACGTTAAAGCCTCACTCCAGCCCTCTGAGCCCTCCACCCAAAAGCCCTCCGTTCCTCCTGGAGGCCCAGATTGTCTGCTCTTAACAGGTGCAGCTGCACCCACTCCCTGCCCTCAGTCCCTCTACCTCTGGACAAGGAGCACCCTGCACTCCTGCTCCCCGCTTCATCTGTTCCTCACTGTGCTTCCCACCCCCACAGGCAGGCAGAGCAGGCACAGGAGTCAGGGAATAAGGGATGGACCCACCTTCTCTCTCAGCCCAGGCCCCAAGTCTGAAGAAAGCCCATGGGTCATCCCTGAGTTCAGCTGCTCCCAACCCCTGAGGCAGGAACAGCTATCCCAGCCCAGCGTGGGCAGCATGGGGCTTACACGATGGAGGGCCGGAGTGTCGGGGTGAGACAGGTGCCGCCTGAAGACCTGCTTCTACATACTGCTCACGGTGCCTAGGGGACCCAGACAAGGGCATCGGCCTCTCTATACTGCAAAGGACTGGCTGGCGTTGGTGCTGCCAGTCAGCTTAGGCATGCCTCGTGAGAGCACGGTCCACATAGCAGGCTTTATAGGTGCTAAGTGGGTGATGGTGTGATTTTCTAGCTTGTCACACCAGCCCGTAGGCCCTGGGTGCTCCGCCCCGAAATCAGGCAGGAGTGGGCTCCAGCTGGTCCCCTCTGTTCCCCCAGCTTGACCTGAGATGCCTCCAGCTGTGGGTGTGACCCAGGACCTCTGGCCCAGCCTCGCTGCCCAGTGCTCACCACCCCAGCCCACCACTGCAGCCCATCTGCCTGCCTGACCCACCAGTGCCTGAGCCAGGGTGCAGCTGTAGTCACCCCCCTCCTTTCCAGCTGCAGTGCCAGGCCCTGCTGTTCCCTGGAATCGCTGCTGACGGACATCAGTGCCTCGTGGTGGCCTGTCAGCCCGTGTGCCGCTGGCCCTGCCTGGTCTGCTGGGGCTGATGGCAGCTGCAGAAGGGGACTGTGCGTGCCACGGGAATGGGCATTGTTTTTGTCCTTTGCAGGTACACTGGGCACACTGCCCGCCCTGAAGCCACATCCTTCCCAATGACCTTCAGGAGGTCCTCGGGAGAGCCACCTAGCCTGTCACAACTCCAGCCTCAACCTCAGGCCCTGTCTACAAGCCGGGTCTTCCCTTGGGAATGCCCTTTCCTCTAGAAGGGCAAACCCCTCCAGCTACCCGGGTGGGGTTTCTCTTTCTAGCTCCCCACTGCCGACAGTGCCCACCTTTGGCACCTCTGTCACAGCCGCTCCCAGGGCAGCCTCCCTGGGCCGTCCCAGGGGCTCTCGTGTCCACCTCTCACAGAGCTCCTCTAGGCCTCACTCAGCCCTGCCCACTACTGTGCTCGTGCCAGTCGGTGCCCTCTGGACAGAGTGGCCGGAGGGTGGGGGAGTGATTGACGTGGGGAGGGTGCCACCTCGTCCCGGTCACGGAGGAGGCCCTGGTCCCTGAGACCAGACTGGAAGCCACTGCTTAAGCAGGAAGGTGTGGCCCTGTGTTCAGACTTCTGAGAAACCATCACTGGAATCCTCACACACGCACGCACACTCACATACCACAGCACCAGCTCAGGGAGGTGGGAGCTCCTGGCCTGCAATCAGAACTAGGACAAGAGAGCAAGCCCCCCTGCGCCCCTCCCTAGTCCCACGTCTCGACCCCCCACTCCTGGCCTGGGCAGGGGCAGAGGATCTAGAATCACAGCCCTTGTCTCACCCCTTGGAGGCCAAAGAAATGATGGCTGGTGAGCGGGCGGCACCCCATGGCCCCCACAGACAGGCAGCAGGTGTTCTGGCGCCCATTACAATTAGGGTGGATGAAGACTGTCCACCTGCTGGACACTGTGCCTGGCGCCAGTACCACCCTGTGCCAGAGTGATCTGCCACCAAAATTGCCACTGGGGGGAGCTGGGCCAGAGCACGGTGAGTAGGCGGAAGAGGCCACTGGCCCTGGGCCTCAGTGCCACACCAGGGCCCACAGGAGACAGGCCTGCCCTGGCATCTACAAAGGAAGCCGTTCCACTCCAGGAGTCTGAGAGGAGAGGTGACACTGGGGACCTGGAGGGAGGGCTGTGAAGGCGGGGCGAGGCCAGAGGCCCGGCTGGACAGGACAGGTGGCCCCCTCCGCCCAGGGTCTGCCCCAGCCATTGGGCCCACTGCCTGCCTGTCTGCCAGGCCGGCGACAGACGGCTGTCTCAGAAAACAGTCCTCTTGGCTGAGCTTAGCTGAGCTGAGCTGAGCTGGCAGGGGGCCAGGGCAGGAAGGCCAAGCATCCTGACCAGTGCAGCGGGTAGCTGGCCTGGGCCCTGCCCGGGGGCCTGATGGGCAGGCGGCAGCCAGGTCTGGCAGGTCACAGCAGCCACCTTCCACAGAGCTAACTGTAGTGCCACTGCCACCCCCACGTTCACCCTGTGTTCACTTCTCACCGTCCCCACTTACCCGTACGCACTGTCAGCTGAGGAGAATGTGTGTGCCATCTACCCAAGGGCTGTGCGGCTTACCCCTCATGTGCCATCTGTGGGCACAGACCCACACCGGGTGGATGAAGGGGGGTGAGTGTGTGAGCTCAGAGCGGACGGTTCCTGCCCTGCGCAGTTTGAACAAAATGGCCCCTAACTACCAGGAGACCGAGAGGAGTAGATACTTAATATGAGGTACTAAGGACTCCCATTTCACCCCAGCTGAGGGGCTTCTTCCACATGCAGGCCCCAACTGTGGGTTGAGTTGCAAATATGAGTTGCAAACCCCTCCATGGGGTGACCCAGCTCCCTGTTTTTTAGCACCCTCAGAAGAGTCGTCATCCTGATTTTGTAAGTGGGAAATCACAACCCCAAGGTAAAGCCTCACTGAGGCTACAGGATTCAACAGGCACCCCTTGCCTCATCGGTGAGACTGGGGTGAAGCCAGGGCTTCCTCCTGGGGCCCTGGGGCCCACTGACTACTCAGGATCCCAGCTCTCTCGGGTTCGGCATTCGAAGCCAGAGCCCTCTGCATGTTGTCTGTAAGAGGTGCTGCCTTCTTTGGTCTATCTAGTGGACGGGGCACCAGTGGTGGACACTGGGGCACGGTGTGAGGCAAAACCACACAGAAGCCTTTCCAGGGACCGCCCCCCAGCTTCCTCTGCCATCCCCCCAGCTTCACATCACCTTAAGCATAGCGACCACAGCTGTGCTGACGATGTCTTCACACACGGGACTTGCCCACCACCATCGCCTGCTGCTCTCTCTTCCAAGGAGGGCAGGACCTGGCCCTCTCAAGTCAGGAAGCATGGGGAAGCATCTGAGCCCCTGGGAAAGAAGCAGCAGATTCCTGCGCCTCACTCATCGTCTGCAGAGGCCTGACTCCTCCAGCGTAGCAGTGCCCCCGGGGCTCTGATGCCAACACCTGTCCCCCCACTGAGACCATGGCACAGCAGGACAAATAGAGAAAGGACCAGTGCAGCAGCTGGACAGGTGGTCCAGTGAGTGCAGGGTGTCCCGGGCATGGCCTGGGTGCAGCAGGTCACAGCCACAGCCTCTGAGGAACGCAGGGGCCTAAGGGGGGCCGACCCCCACCAGTGCCCTTCCCTGCCTTTGCAGACGGTTTCCCTAAAAAGTTGATGAGTGAAGCCCCGTGCCCTAATCTGCAGTCCTGCCACCGCGCTTGCCTGTTTTCATTACGGAGGGAAAGAGCATCAGAGCCGTGTTTATAACCCCCCTTTAGATAACAAATCACATTTTCTTTTCACCAGCGAGTGTGTTGAATTGATATTTTTTCCCCTCGGTTTAATGGGTTTGTGTGTTCAGGAATGATCTTCATCAACCGAAACTCCTTATTGTGTTTGATGTAATGTCAGCTTTCATTAAGCGCTCCGGTCGGAGCCGAGCACGGGGAAAGGCCCAGCACCCTGGAGCCGGCCCCGCCCCCCACCTACCCCAGATGGGACACCTGGGCTCCCGTCTTCACGGACCGGTGGGTGGGCAGGAGGGGTGCAGGTGAGTTGGGGAGGGGGGCTGCAGCCAGGTAGAAGCCTCCCCTGCCCCTGAATCGTGTCCTCGTCTGTGTGACGAGGTCACAGGCTGTTGGTCACAGAACCCTGTAACAAAGTGTCAAGCGCCAGACACAGTGGCTGCCACAGATGACCAAAACTATCAAGTCACCTTCGGTGACGTTCAGGAGGTTGTCTGTGATACTGCCCAAGTGTTCTAGAGTGCTTAGACCATGCCTTCACGTCCAGCCAGTGGCCTGCACCCCCAGACCTCTGATGGCAAATAAGCCCAGCAAACCCCGGCACTAACCACTTCAAGCCACGGCCTCAGACCCATCACCTGGGCAGTCAGCAGGACCAAACCCATCCCTGAGCGTGAGGAGCTGAGTTCAGAGAGGGAACACCGTCACCCTGAAGTCACACAGCAAATGGGACTAGTCAGGCCCGGGCAAGGGGTGACCAAAGTGACTTCTATCACCATGGAATAGGGCTGGCTGTGCTGGCTGCTGACAGCCAGACCCCTGGGAGCATCTATGTGTTCACCCCTCCTGCTTGAAGACCACAAGGAAACAGGCCCCGGTAAACAAGCAAGCCTGCCTTGCTGCAGATTTTTGCTGAACAAAAAAGGGCTGCGGAGCGGGCGTCTGAGACAGTGGCCCTGGCCCTGGGGCCTGCGGGGCAGCTTCTCCTGAGTGGGTGGCTTGATGGCTCCAGGTTCACCTTCTGGCGGCCTCTGTCAGCCGTGCTCAGTTCTGATTAAAGATCATTAAACATGAAATTAGCCCGTTTGTGTAACGGGTCCCTGGGGTGACCGGTGATTATGACGCGCAGATGGCCAAGAACCCAGGCGGCGGGCGGGCGGCGGGGCCAGCCTGGGTGTGGCCAGCACAGGCAGGCGGGGGCCGGAGGCGGCGGCAGGCTGGGCTGTGTTGTCTCCCGCTCCTGTTGTGTGAACCCCCTTGTATTTCACAACAAATCACAGATAATTAATAAGTACATGCCCGTAATGAGCAGGCTTTTTAATAGAAGAAATTGGAAGATGCAATGTCGAGTCATTATTTCACTCTTACCCAGACTCGGCTCTATTTTCCCATCTTCTCTCTCCCCCCCACGCGGCCTGCCTCAGCCAGTCTCTGCACACAGGCTGCTTCTGACTCTGCCTCCCAGCAGGGTTGCCGGACAGGAAGGACCCCGGTGCTGGACTCTGGGGGGCTGTGACCCAGGAACTGCACCCTTCTGTGTGGGGCCCCTGAGGACATCCTGGCAGGGGGTGGGAGTGGGGCATAACCAATCTGACCCAGCCAACCCTCCCTGAACGGACTCTGGGGCGGTAGGAGGGGCAGCCAGACCCCAGACCGGGGGGCTGGGTGTCTTGGCTGCACCCCGGGAGACTGAGCTGTGAGTATTGAATCCTCTGTCCCCCACAGGAGGAAGACATCATGTACTATGACGCCAAAGCTGATGCAGAACTGGTGAGTGTCCCCACCTGCACAAAGAGCAGGAGAGGGGCTGCCAGAGCCCCCTGCAAGATGCATGTTGAGATTCATTGCCCCACGCTCTGAGTTCAACCCTGCCGAGCCCTGGTGGCTCGGCCCCCAACCCTGCCCTCCCAGGACTCCCTCCGGGCCCTGACTCCCGGGGCTCACAGGCACAGCTGCACTGCACAGTGGGGCAGATCCTGCCCCTGCCCGCGGGCGGAGTGAGGGACCTCTTCTCTAGGCAAGGCCAGTGGTCAGTATCAAGAGGGGCCCAGAGTGCACAAACCAGGAGAGAAGGAGAAATCGGGAAGGGGGTCCCCGGAGGTGGGTGGAACTGGGGTGCAACACCACAGAGTTAAGTGCATCACAGGTCAGGACAGCTGCGCTCCCTGCTCCCCCCTCCAGATAAAGGGAGACCTCCAGGCCAGCTGCGGCCACCACATCGGAAGTGGCATGGCCTGACAGACCCAGGAGCTCCCCTGCTTTTTTGCCTCCATGTCATTGATGGGTTGGGACCACCCTGTGAGATAGTGAGGGCCCCATCACCAGAGGACCCACAGGAAAGTGATGTGACCACTTGGGTGGGAGGAGACCTACAGAGGAGTCAAGCATGTCTCAGGGCGCGTAGAGCCCACAGGGTCTGGTGTCCAGGCCCAAGTCCTCCTGCCTTTGAGACTAATGTCACTGAACCCAACTGTTCCCTCTGTAAGCAGAAGTATCACAGCAGCTCAGTCTAGGGGCCCACCTGTGCTAGCTAGTGCAAGAACCCCAAAGTCCAGTTTTCCTCTCCCAGGCCTGTCAGGCTAAGGAGGAGTCCTGAGGGGAGCAGGAGGTGTCCAAGGATACCATGAGGTGGGCAGGCTGGGAAGGAGCCCTGCACAGGGGCCACGGTGGCAGGCTGGCCAGGAGGGCAGGCGGGCAGGGGGCCCGCTAAGGCGGGGTGGGTGGGCTAAAGCAGGTGTGCTTCCCCTTGGCTGAGCCTCTGTGGCTTCCAGAGAAGTTGCTAAAATTAAAGCTGGAATCTGAAATTCAAATGAAGAGCGAACCTTTAATTAGACCCTGAATCTAATTCCTTACCTCCCCCCCCTCAGCAGCGGGCTGTAATTTTAGCAATCAGTGCATTAAATATAAACCAGGCGACTGCAGTTACCCCACCATACAAAACCCTGGGTGTGGGGGTGGCACCGAAGGGCTCCTTGACCAGCCTGGTGCCCCGCCCCCCTCCCACCGCCCCCGGCAGAAAACCCTGAATTTCCTGCTCCCGGCAGCCCCCAACTGTATCCAGAACCCCCAGCCCCTGGCTGTGAGTCACTGATACCCTGGCCGTGGCCCCTTAGACATCTGCTGGGGAACCAAGAAAGGCCCAAGCAGGGAGATTCGTCCTGGGCAGGCCGGGTTCTGGAAGGCCAAGAGCTCGGCCCCGCCTGGCCCTGGTATAAATACCAGCACAAGCACGTTTGCTGAATCCCCTGCTTGTTGTGTTGTTTTGTGTTTTTTTTTTTTTTAATCTTTGCCAGAGGTACAGTTAGAGATCTTTCTAGACCATTTACTTTTAAATTACCAGCCAGAAGGTGGGGGTGGGGGAAAGAGAAGGAAGGAAAAAGTTCGCCAGCTGATAGCTTATCAGAACGGAATCCAAATGTCACATTAGTTGGAAAAGTTGGGAGATTAAATTTTCCAGCGCCCTTCATCTGCCGCTGACATTTCGGGGGCTTTCTTCTCCCGCACCTCTCCCTCCCCTTTGCAGAATGTGATTGGTGCAGGCCTCAGAGGCGGGGGCTCAGCTCTCTGGCCTCCATGCTCGAGGCTGCCTGCCCCAGCTTTACCGGCATCCAGGGGCTTCTGAGGGCCTCTCAGGCGTGCTGAGGTGGGCCGAGAGGCAGCGCACTGGGTGAGGGACGATGGGAGGGCAGCACAGGCCTGGATTTTTCTGTGCAAAATCTACCCTTGAGGAGCTGAAAGGGTGTTTGCTGCAGACCATTCAAGTAGCGCCAGCCCCTACCAAGCCAGCTCACTGCACCTCCCACCCAGGCAAATAATCCATCCCCCAGGCCTGAGGGTGGACCCAGAGCACCCCCAGGAGAGGGAGAGATCATCGGGTGGGGGGAGGCTCGAACAGGCGGGGCTGGTCACCCCTCCCTAGACCAGACACAGCCCAGACAAAGGACAGGAGGCAGGAGGCAGGGGCTTGTCCAAGACCCAGCCACCCCAGGGTCAGCTCCCAGGAGAGATGCGGGAAGAGAGAAACCAGCTCAGCTGAGGGTGCTCGTGAGGGTCTTGAGAGGCAGCAAGGAAACCTGTGGCTGGCTCACTGCTTCTACCCCTTCTTCCCAGGGCACAGAGCCCCCAGTTCTACACCCTGCACTGCCTCAGTCTCCATCTCTCCTCACCTGGCTTTCCCATCTTCCCCGGCACTCTACCACCATCTTCCCTCCCCCCCCCCTGCACACCTGCGCTGTGTCTGCCCACCCCTCCTAGGCTGCGGCATCAGCACTGTCATGGCAGACCCACTCCTGCCAGCCTGGGTGGTGGGCGGGGGCACACTGCGCATGCCCAGCTTGCCTGGCCGAGAGATGCCGTAATTGGCACCTGTCAGAAGGCTGTGGCTCATTTTAGAAAGTCGACGGGGGCCTTTACTGTCCTGCTGCTAGCAGGCTTCGCAGACTCTCTGGAGGTCAGCAGGTCTCAGTGCGAGCCCAGCTCAGCCCAGCTCTCCCCAGGATGGCCCCCCAACTCAATCCCTAGAGCCCCCTTGCTGCAGGGGCTGGTGCACCTCCCCCAGACAGGGCTGGGACCGTCTCCCTGGTGCCAGAGGAACTCCATGCAAGGATGCACAGGGCCCAGTGGGGTCGTGGGGTGCAGGGCTCCTGGCAAGAGCCACCAGGGCTGCATGAGGCATGTCCTTGTCAGCAGAGGTCTGCAGTCTGCTCCTTCTCACTGACTTTGAGCGCTGCTTCCTTCACTGGTAATTAGTTTTCAAGGATGTGGGGTCAGTCTGGTTTTGGTTTTGGAATTTACGTTTAGCACATTTGGGGAAGGGGGTGTCAGTGGGTGTCAGGGGCCCCCTGGGTGAGGGGTCCATACCCACGGTCACCTCTCCCTGTAGCTCTCCATCTCGCTTTTTGTTTCTGAGCACAACAATCTGTCCTTGAGAGGCTGCTGCCGCCTGTCTGCTGACCCCTCTCTGCCATTTCCCAGCCCTGACATGCTGGCGGGTGGGGTGCGGCGGGTCTCCTTCTGCAGGATGAACCTGAGAGTGAGGATGTGGAGAAGGGTTCTAAGGCTAACACCCTCAGGCTGGACTTCATGGAGGACTCAAACTTCAAGAACAAGGTCAACTATTCATACACAGCCGTGCAGATCCCCACGGACATCTACAAAGGCTGTAAGTATGCAAGGCAAGTGGGAGCCCTCCCCGCCCACCCAGGGGCACCACCCACTGCCCAGCACTGTCAGGATCCAGGTGCATGAGCAGAGCCATTCACCCCCAGCCACCTACCAGCCACTCTGTCACACCTCGCCCCTCCGGGCAAGGGAAGAGAGAGGAATGCAAGGAGATGGGGCATGATTTCCAGCCCAGAGAGGCCAGAGGCTAAAGGTAGGGGGAGGGGGGACTTGATAAAGCATGGTCAGGGTTCCAAGCTCTAGGAACCTGAGGTAACAGGACACTATAGCTCAAAAGATTTAAGTCAGACAAGCGGATGAACTTCCTAAAGATCCTCAAAGGTGTAGGGGAGAGACTAAGAGTCAAACATTGAAGGGGGAGCTCTAGCTCCGTATTGTTACTGATATCATTCTGTGGGTACCTACAGGATCATCTCAGAATCCAAGGGGCCCTCCGTTAGGGGGTCAGAGGTCCTGGAGCCACTGGGCAATCTCCAAAATGCAGGGAATCCCCCAGGGTCCTCAGGGAGGCCCCCTCCACTCTGGAGCCAGTCAGCCGTGTCACCCAGGGGGTGGGGGTGAAGGCGGGTGCCCCCTGCCTGCCCCTCCACAGGCCACCTGCCCGAGCAGCAGAGGGGCACTATCACAGGCAGGCACGCTAATTAAAACAGGAGCCTCATCGTCCTCCCCAGTCACCCCTCACTACCCACACAAATTACATTTTATATGTTTTTTATTTACTGTGTCACTTTTAATTAAATCTGTAATCGCCTGCCTGAGGGGGCATGGTCCCCGTTTCCCAACTCAGCGTGATCTGAGTGTGCACGTGGGTGAGGGTGTGCGCCAGGGTCGCGTCGCAGGCCCTTGCCAAGCAGGAGGGGGTGCTTGTGCGAGGGTGCCCTTAAGCACACCTCCTGCGTGCACGTGGCCGCGAGCGCCCACAGGGACCGCCAGCCCGCGCAGGGTCTTCTCTTGGCTCTTGACCTGAGTCAGGAACCCTCTTGCTAGCAGCTAGAGTGGGACAGTTGCCCTTAGCCTCTGACTGTGCATATGGGGACGCTGAGGCCCAGGGAGGGGTAGGGTTTGCCAGGCAGACTCTCCCAGAGCAGGCAGTAAAACATTTGTGAGCCTGGCTGTATATTTTCCTTAAAGAGAAAAATAGAAACTGTTCAACTCACTAAGTTTCTAAATTAGGAACGGGACCATAACATACTGTTCAATAGGCACAGCCAATGCTAGAAATGGCTTTTGTTTTCACATTATGATCAGTTAAGGGAAGCCGCAGGGACAGAGAGAGGAGTGAGAGCGGGGGAGGGATTAGGCCACAGACTAGACACAGCAGAGACCCACACTCTGGAGCGAGCGAGTGGGCAGAGGGCAGAGTGCCCAGGCGTGTGCCAGGGCCCCTGGGCTGTGCGTGGAGTCCTGAGACTCGTGTCTGACTTACAACTCCCCGTCTACTCTAAAGGTTCCGATTCAGAGGCTCTGCTGAAGAGAACAGCCTCGGAGACATTCTTCGGTTCTCCCTTGGGCTCAATCTTTGATGGGATCTTGGGGGGACACGGCAGCGTTGATGGTGTCAGTGTTCCAGAAAGAAAGGAGGTCAAAGAGACAGCCCCTAGGGGTGGGTGGGTCCAGAGGCCAGGCAGAGCGGGGGTCCAGCTCCTGCTGTGTTTTTCTGCCTTTCCACGTGCAGGACAGGAATACTAAATGGGGGAGAACACGCACCACACAGCCACAAGTAGGTTTAGGGGCGGCCCGAGGGGGGCAGGGTATGATCCAAGCCGTCCTGAGTCTTCCCGGGGTTGCAGCATCTTCAGGGTGGATCCATCCCTGTGCCCTGTGAGTGTGCATAGAAAAGGTCCAAAAATCCGGGTGCATAAAAGCAGCCCAGGGAGGGTGGGGAGGGAAGCTTGTGAGGGCGAGACCCGCTGGGGTCCTGTGGAAGGGATGTAGGTATGAGGGGTGGCAGGCAGACTGCTGGGCAGGAGGTGCGGCAGTGAGAGGACCGCTGCCCGGCCAGAAGCACCGAGTGTCGGCGCACAGGTATAGCTGCTGTGGAGGGCTGGCCGTGTTGGGGACGCATGTGCGTGGCTCTGTTGGAGCAGGATCGTGGCACAGGCCCTGCCCCTCAAAAGCCTCTGCCCCCGCCCCTGCCTGCTCCTGGCCCCAGTTGATTAATCATGGAGCTGAGTGGCTTCCAGCTTATCAGGTACCTTAATAGCTGAATAATTCCAGCCCCATCATCGGGCCCTTAATTGCTTTCTTGTGGCTGCAGCCCGGAGTGCATGCTGAGTGGGTGAGCTCCCAGCAGACCAGCTCCAGGCAGCCTGCCGGACGGGCATCCCCACTCACAGCTCCCTGCCACCTTGGTGGCCCTCCTCTGGGGCCCCAGCTCCCCTGCCAATCACATGGGACCTGCCTGAAGGACAATCTGAGCTGTTTCTTTGATGCCTGGAGACAGTAGGACCAGGAAGTCTTCCTGGAGGAGCTGGTGCAGGCTAGCTGATCCCTGGGAATGAGGGCGAGTCCGGGTTGGCAGAGGGTAGGAAAGGCTTTTGAAATCTAGGTGCATGATCATGGGTGTCACTGTGGTAAGGTGCAGCAGGGGACACGCCCCACCCTGGCCCCCTGTGCTCCCACAGCCACCGTCATCCTCAATGAGCTCAACTGGACAGAGGCACTAGAGAATGTGTTCATCGAGAACCGCAGGCAGGACCCCACGCTGCTATGGCAGGTCTTTGGCAGCGCCACGGGGGTCACTCGCTACTACCCAGGTAGGTGCCAGTTCATCTCCCAGGGCGCTCAGCACCCTGCCCTCCCCCGTCTCTCAGCTCACTCTTCCTGGGGAGGGTAGTGACCATGTAAGCTGTGTAGGGGCACGCCTGTGAGAAAGAACTGCCTCCTGGGGTCCAGCCTTCCCCTCAGCTACCGAGCAGTCCCGCTCACCTGTGCTCTTCCCACAGCCACCCCGTGGCGAGCCCCCAAGAAAATCGACCTGTACGATGTCCGAAGGAGACCCTGGTGAGCGAACAAGGAGGGCCTGGGCAGGGACATCCCGAGCTCCACCACCTCTCCTGCCTGCTCCCCTCCCTCCCGATATCCAGGCCTCTGAGCAGGGCGCAGCCAGCTCTATCCAATTTTCATTTCACACATCGTTGCCACTGGAAAATGGATCCCATCACCCACACAGGCCTCCCAGCTGCCTCTGCGCCCCATCCACTGCCAGGCATTCCACCACCTCAGGGCCGAGGGCTCGGGCCATTGGGAGTTCCCAAGGGTTAACATCTCTGTGGGGTTGGCCAGCCTCCGCCCCACCCCTCCCCTCTCCAGCAGCACCCCTGACCACCTGCCCGCCTGGCACTTTGTTCAGCCCTACCCACAGCTAGGACCGTGGAACACAAGTCACCAGAGCCAGGGAACATGCATCCTGTTCCCTCTGACCACCTGCTTAACCCCTCCCTGGGCTTGCTTACATGGCAGGGGGCCGGGTTACTCACGTCATGGGCAAGGACTGTCTGTTTTATTACACATGGAATCCTCAGTGCCTAGAAGCCTGCCAACCAAATGTGGGGGATGGACCCACCAGGTCCTGGTAAGGCTGGCCCTAACTGAGGCTTCTCCTGGACAGGTACATCCAGGGGGCCTCATCGCCCAAGGACATGGTCATCATCGTGGACGTGTGAGTGAGCAAGCCTGGTGGTGGGGAGGAGGCAGGGCAAGGGGCAAGAATCTGCTGGTGGGGGCATCACGGGGGGATGGCAAGAGAGTACCTGAGACCTGCCTGGCACCTCCATGACTTCCTCAGGAGTGGCAGCGTGAGCGGCTTGACCCTGAAGCTGATGAAGACATCCGTCTGCGAGATGCTGGACACTCTCTCTGATGACGACTATGTAAACGTCGCCTCGGTGAGTGCCAAGGTGGCAGCCAGGCCACCCCCACCCACATGCCACGGCTACCCACCCTGGTCAGCCTGAGGCCACCGACCACCCCCACTGTCCCTGCAGTTCAACGAGAAGGCACAGCCCGTGTCATGCTTCACACACCTGGTGCAGGCCAATGTGCGTAACAAGAAGGTGTTCAAGGAGGCGGTGCAGGGCATGGTGGCCAAGGGTACCACAGGCTACAAGGCCGGCTTCGAGTATGCCTTCGACCAGCTGCAGAACGTGAGCTCCAGGGGCGGGCGAGTGGGCGGCCAGGGGCGGGCGGGGGCCCAGGCTTGAGGACCCCGAGGACATCAAGGAGGAAGGCCTTGTTAGGGCCCAACCAGCAGCTCACCATCTGCCGTGGGTGAGGAGGGCCAGAGGGCCAGGTCCACCATGGGAGGGAAACCCACCCCGGATGAGGGAGGGGCTGAGAGCCACCTGACCCCACACCTACCCCTGCCCAGTCCAACATCACTCGCGCCAACTGCAACAAGATGATCATGATGTTCACGGATGGCGGGGAAGACCGCGTGCAGGATGTCTTTGAGAAGTACAACTGGCCCAACCGGACGGTGAGGCTCAGCCCTGGTGGGGCCACCCCGACCCACACCCTGTTCAGGGAGGGCTGTCCGCTGGTGGCCACAGCAGTGACCTCACGCCCCACACAGGTGCGTGTGTTCACCTTCTCCGTGGGGCAGCACAACTATGACGTCACACCCCTGCAGTGGATGGCCTGTGCCAACAAAGGTACCTCGTCGGTGTCACCCCCTGCAGTATTCAGGGGGCTTGTGCACCTGTCCATCCATATGTCCATCTTCCCAGCTGCTCATTCATCCACTTGTCCAGCTTCCTTATAAGTGATTGTCCATCTGTCTGTCTAACTTGCCCTTCTGGCTGAGCTCTTTCTGCCCATCTGTCCATGGTCCATCTGTCTCCTGGTCTGTCTGCTCCTGCATCTGGTTACTGGTGAGCCCATCGCTCCGCGCACCTGAGCCTGGTCTCCAGGTGAACTCTGAATATCGCTGCCACCCTAGGATGAGGGACTCCAAACCTCAGGCTCCCTTCACCCAGTTCTGCGTCCTTAAACCCCTGGACTCGTGTCTCCTTCTGTAGCATCAGTTCCACTGGCAAGGCAATGGCAGGGATTACTAAAGGGGTATGAATTTGGGGAGCAATGAGGCGAAAAAGAGAGGGTGTCTGCAGGACCTGTCAGGTTGTAAACCTAGGCCAGGGTACTGGGCCCCAATCCTACCGGTCCTGGGCATCACCCACCTCTTCCCACCTCTGCCTCCCCTTCCCTCACAGGTTACTATTTTGAGATCCCTTCCATTGGCGCCATCCGCATCAACACACAGGTGAGACTGTGGGGGGCCGCCTCCTGGCTTATGCTTGGATGTCAGGACGTGGGCTACTGTGTGGTGCGAGCGCCCCCTGGTGGCAAGATGGTGCATGGGCGGCACTACAGAAAGGTGATGAGCGCGAGTCAACGCCTGACCTCTGACCACGCCCCCTCCTCAGGAATATCTAGACGTTTTGGGCAGGCCCATGGTGCTGGCAGGCAAGGAGGCCAAGCAGGTGCAATGGACCAACGTGTATGAGGATGCACTGGTAAGGTCTCCGGGCAAGGAAGGGGTGGGGCTGGCATCTTCTCCCACAGATGTACCCACAGGGGCAGTTCCTTTCCGGCCCCCTTCAGGAAAGTAAACCAAATAGAGGAGAGGTGCTTGAGGTCCTGCTCTAAAAGCCTGGGGTAGAGGCATAGCCGGCCACAGAAACCAACCCATCCTTCTCTCCCTTCAGGGGCTGGGGCTGGTGGTGACAGGGACCCTCCCTGTCTTCAACCTGACGCAGGATGGCCCTGGGGAAAAGAAGGTGAGGTCGCCCGCTGGGGAAAGGCATGCCTGGAGAGGGCTGGCCGTGCCCATCTGGGTTGGAGGAAGGGTAGCCAAGCCTGCAAACGATGGGGCAACTGCTATGAGAACCCCTCGCCACCCTGGCCATGAGGAGGGGGTAGCGACCATCCCCTGGAATTGAGCCCACGCCTCTGCTCCCAGAACCAGCTGATCCTGGGCGTGATGGGCATTGACGTGGCACTGAATGACATCAAGAGGCTGACTCCCAACTACACAGTGAGTGTCTGCCGCCCATGCATCCACAAGCCAGGCTCAGTAGAGGAGGCTGTTGGGGTTACCACACCTTCGTGGAGACCTCTGCGTCAGGGCAGGCTTCCAGAGGAGTGGCCTTAGGCCCCCAGCGGAATCGGCAGAGTTCCCAGAGACCAGACTCAGTCATTCGGGCACGCTAGCCTCACCCCTCATACTCAGTTCTGCTCTTTTATTGAAAAAACAGCCACAGACAAAGCATAAATAAATAAGTGGGCATGGCTATGTTTGAATGCAGTTTTACTCGTGGATACTGAAATTTGAGTTTCAAATAATCTTTACATGTAACGGAAAATAGTAAAATCTTTATTTTTATTTAAAAATAAAGCTCTTTCTTAGCTCGTAGCCGTACAGTAACAGTGAGCAGGGCAGATGCAGCCCACATTGGCTTCTGGACTGTAGCATAGGTAGGAGTGTCCTGGGGAGAACGGAGACAGAGACATACTGTGGAGGCAGACGGAATTCCCTGGGCCAAGGCCCAAAGGTAAAAACCAGAATCATAAACCAGGGAAGGGGCAAGATCAGTGTGGCTGGCCCGGGGGCCCTGGTGAAAGGAGTTTGGTTCTCGGGTGAGGCCTGTGTGACGGCCCTAAAGCTGGGTCTGTGAAGGCCCTGTCTTCGGCCCCGTGTGCCAGGAGAAAGCACTGAGAGGTGAAGGCTCCACGGCCCCTCTCACTGAGGGCTCGGGCCACGAGCTTCCTTTCCCTTCCCTTCACCTGGGGGAACCCCCGCCCCGGGCCTGTGGGATTCCAAGGGTGGGGACCAGGCAGCTGACGTGGAGAGCAGAGGGGAAGGCAGCAGTCCTGTGAGCCACTGGAGGTGGAGCAGCCCCGCTGACTGACGGCTCCCTGAGAACCAGGGCTGGGGGCGAGAACTGCAGCGGCCAGTCAAGCTGTGGCCCCTGGAGCTGGCCGGCCTCCACCAGGACTGGTGCAAGAGAGCTCCCTGCCTGCTGGGCGTGGCTTGAGAGGCAGACTTGGGGTTGCATGGCATGTGAGGGCCCTCGGGCTCAGGCAGAGGAGGAGCCTTGGAAGTCCCTGCCCAGCCATCTAGGTCCTGAGTCCCCAATCTACACCCCCAGCTTGGTGCCAACGGCTACGTGTTTGCCATTGACCTGAACGGCTACGTGTTGCTACACCCCAACCTTAAGCCCCAGGTGAGCCAGGTGGGTGGCCTGGAGGGGAGTAAACTCTGAGATGGGGATTCCTAACTCCCTGCCCCGCCACCCCTAGACCACCAACTTCCGGGAGCCTGTGACTCTGGACTTCCTGGATGCAGAGCTAGAGGATGAGAACAAGGAGGAGGTGAGGAGGAGGGGAGTGGGATGAGGGCACCCAGAACAGAGGGAGATAGGGACCCTGCCCCTCACGTCAATGGCCCTTCCAGATCCGCCGGAGCATGATTGATGGCAACAAGGGCCACAAGCAGATCAGAACATTGGTCAAGTCCCTGGATGAGGTGAGGTGATGGAGGGGGGACAGAGTCAGGATGGGCTCCCTCCTCCTCCTTCACCCCACCCCCACCTGCTAGCCCAAGGACCTGACCCGGCCTCTCCTCCCAGAGATACATAGATGAGGTGATGCGGAACTACACCTGGGTGCCTATAAGGAGCACCAACTACAGGTGAGTGAGGCGAGGGGTGGGTGGGCAGGGGGACAGGTAGCCCCCAAATCAAAGCCTGAGCCCAGATGCTCCCTCCCTTCCCCACCCCTGTCCGCTGGCTCTCAGTGCAGTGACCGGAATCCCAGTGGGAGTGAGCAGCCCTGGCTGCTGGGGGGTCTTACGGGCCCTTTAGGAGCGAACACCACCTCCTGGGTGCGCAGGACCCTGCAGCTGAGTCCAGGGCTGCACCCTCTTGCGTCACTCCTGCCTGGGCCGTCCCACGTCCGCGCCAGGGCGTCATCCACATGTTCTCAGGCCTCCACAGCCACGCCGGGCCTGGGGCTGGAGCAGGCCCAGTCAAGGGGTGGCCCCGGGAGTTCACACCCCAGCTCCAGCCTGTGACTGGTGACTGCCCCCCGCATGTTGGTGCCAGCCCTGTTCTTGGCTGGGCCTCGCATGGCCTGAGTCTCTGGGGATTGTGGCTCCCGCCCACGGCAGCAGCCCCTAAACCCTCCACCCAACCCAGAACAGATTTGCTGACAGTGCGCTGCCCATCGAGGCGTTGCTGCTGACCAGATGGCAGAGGCTGACCGGGCAGGTGGTGTGTTGGGGGCAGTAGCTTGGGAGAGGGCGAGGTGAGGGCTGGGGTTTGCTTTGGGTCTGGCCTTCTGAGGCCTCCAGGAGTCTGGGTAGTGGAGGAGCCAGGCCTCTGGGTGTCTCCAGGGCGCTGGCCCCTCGGCCAGAGGCTCCCACAGCTCGCTAGGGAAAGCTGACCCTGGTTGTCAGGGGAGAGGAGCCACACCCTGGGGCTCTGCACCCAGCTCTAAGGCTGTGGAGAGAGGCGGCCACACGGTCTACTTACCTCGACAGTGACCTGCGCACCCCTTTCTCCTCCCAGCCTCGGGTTAGTGCTCCCGCCCTACAGCACCTTCTACCTCCAAGCCAACCTCAGCGACCAGATCCTACAGGTCAAGTGTAAGTGGCCCGAACCCTGCCTGCGCCCTGCACCCCCGCCTCCGCCCCGCACCCTGGCACCTGGCCGGCCCCAGGCAGCATAGCCAGCCACTTGCGGCAAGGCAGCCCCTCCTGCCCAGTCTGCCCAGCCCAGGCACCCGCAGGCTGGGGCACCGGCCATCGGAAAGTCTGTGGAAACCTGCATGCTCGCCTTTTCTCAGATTTGGTTCCAGATCATTCTCTCATGATTTCTGTTGAGGTTTCTGTTTTTGGTTTCTCCTGCTCCGTGTCTTGCCTCCCCAACCCTGCAGACCCCTGGGGGCTGCATTCCTGGAAGACACCCCCTTCTCATCTCTCCGTCCTCCTCTCCCCATGGCGCTCTGCCCCTGTGGTGCCATCCCCAAGGTCTCTCCCTGCCTTCTGTTGTTCCCCTCACTCGCCCTCACTCCTTTCACACTCTTCCCCTCATCTCCCACCACACCTCACCTCTCACCTCCTCCCCACACACCCCTCTGCCCTTCCCTCTCTCTCTTCCTCTCCTCCCCCACCCCTGGGTCTCCCCTCTCCCTGCTCCTGCCTTCTCCCTCCCTCTCTTGCTTCTCTTCTGCTCACACCTTCCACTTGTCCCCCCCTTTCTCCCTTCCCTCAGGCTCTCTCCACCGGTCTCAAGCGCCTCCTTGCCCCTCCCCCTCTCCTCTGGTGCCCCCTTCTCCTTCCCCACTCCCCTCTCTCCTTCACCCCAGCTCTTGCGGCCTCCTGCCCCACTCTCCCGCTCCTCTGCCTGTGGCTCATCCCTGCACGTCTGCTCACCCAGGGCCTCCCCCAGCCTGTGGCCCCGCCTGCCCATGCCGAGGTCACCGGGAGGGAGGCTGGGGCTCCAGCCCCACCGGGCGCCCCCACCTGCCTGGCCGACTGGGGCTCATCTCCTTTGAGTTTTCTCGCTCTCTCTTTCTCTCTCATGTCGTTTTTTTGCAAGAAGTTTCCTTTCGGTATGATGATGAGACACAATATTTTCATTCAAACAGCCATTGAATAAAATATTGTTTGTGCCCCTCCCCTTCCCCTCCCCCTTTTCGTTTGTTTTTGTGTTTGTGTTGTTTTTGTTTTCCTCGCTTTCTCTCTTGGTGGACTGTCCCAGTGCCAATCAGCAAACTGAAGGGCAAGTATATTCAGAACCAGTGCACCCTCCTCCCCCACCCCACCCACCCTCACACCCCTGCTTGCCCCCTCTCCCTGCCCAAGACCAGCCAAATCCCTGCTCTCCAGGGCCCCCAGCACCCCCTTGATTCCTCTAGTTCTTGTCTTTCCTCTGAGCCCTAAGCCCCTATTATAGAGCCACGGCCCTTTGCCCTGACCTTGCCTTCAAGGTGGTCTCCAGCATGTTCTGAGAGTTCAGAACTCCTCTTCCTCCTCACTCCTTTTGGGCAGGCTCCTGCCCCCTCCCACCTCACACCCTCTCTGTCCCCCCAAGACAGCTCAACAGTGGGGACAGGGCTGGATGCCTCTCCACCACTTCCCACCCAGCAGGGCAGAGGGGCCAAGCTATAGGAGGTAGATATAGGAGGGGTTTGGGAGCTGACAGGAAAGAGACAGCTACTTGAGGCTGCTTCTGGGGTAGTTCTCCCTCCTCTGACCCACAGAAATGGCTCCAGAAGCTGGCAGCCTCTACTCAAGATGATAGCCTTCTACAGAAGATTCTAGAAGCCCCAGACCCTGACCCTGGGGCAGGGGTAGGATAAGGCAGCGCATCCAGGCCACCTGAGGCTGTGGAGCCAGCCTGGGTGCTGACCCAGGTACTGAAGTTCCAGTCTCCTGCCACCACACTGCTCCTGGCCCTACCTAAGGTGTGAGATGCTCCTGGGAAGGTGGTTATTCAGGGAGAAGTTGTCCATTAGGACATAAGGGCAGACTCAGGGGCCACAGGCCTGGTCTGCAATGAAAGGGAGTCTCACTGGACCCTAAGAGCCAGCAAAAGGGCTTGGAGGGCATCTGGCTGGGTATGAATTATTAAAACAGTCTGACACTCACAGAGACTGACCATGCCAGAACAACTTCTGGGAAAGGAAGTGGACTTGCAGACCTGGCAAAGAGCATGGGCAATAAGAGAAGAGAGCACATCAGGGACTCTGCTACCAGTGTGGGAGAAGCCTGGGCAGATGGGCATGGAGAGCCTCAGGGAGTGCTGTCCTGGGTATCCATGGCCTGAAAGCAGGGATGCCCCAAGAGACTTCAGGGGCCTGTCCATCCTAGTCCAGCAAAAGGGATACAGTTGCCTCCACTGGCCCAGGTGGGGGTGGGGGATTGCCCTATTCCCACTGGCTTGAGTTGTCTTCTCTCCCTCTCCCAACTCTATCCCAATGACCCCCGAAATGCAGGGCCCTGGGAACAATAACTATAGCCTAGTCTCCCTTCCTGCTCCCCTACCTCCTTTTATTTCTCCTCCTCCTCCGCCCCCCTCCAACCCTTTCCCTGTCGGCTTGTGTCCAAATCCTGCCTCACAGTCCTATCAGAAAGCAACAGTCCAACCAGTGACTGCCCAGTCCCTCCAGGTACCTCAAGTCCCCTTTCCCCAGAATCTTGCAGTGCATTGTGGGAATATTTAGAAATAGGGAACACCTCTCTTCTGCAAAAATTAAGCCCCCAGGGGTGGAAGAAAGGTTACAAGCTGTGCAAAGACAATAAGGGAAGGTAGACTACCCAGAGTGGACAGGTCAGGAGCAGAGGACACTTCCTCTGCCTGGTGTAGCTCAGCCTGGTGGCCCGTGCAGCTGAACAGGGAGAGGCTGCAAAGCTCCAGTGGCCATATCCCCAGACCCACTCACAACCCCACAGAGACATGCACATAGATGCTCTCGCAAACAGACGCGCTCTCCATGCACACACACTCACACGCGCCTGCTGAGGTGCAAGCCCAGGGCACAGGCCAGTTGGCATCCTCAACGGCATCCTCATGTCTTCTCTGGAGCCTGGCAGCTCTGAGCCCCCATGGTGCTAGGAGGAGATCCCGCTCTCCTTCCCCAGCTGTTCCGTGTGCCCCCAGCCCAAGAAGGCAGGTGTGCAGGGTCAAACAGCCTCCCTGTCTCCTCCCAGTGCCCAGACTCCCTCCCTACAGTGACACAAGACAAGGATGGGGTACAGGGGTGCAAAGGGCACCCCAAACCAGAGCAGCTACAGTGCAGAAATGCTCTCAGGCACCTTGAGGTCTCCCCTCATGCAGCCTCCTAGCCCAGAGAGGGCCGCCAGACCCCCACAATGCACTGCAGCCCACCCCAGCTGCCCATACTGCCCATGCTGTCTCTGGTTGGACTGTCTGTGCCCGTGAGAAACCCCTCGGTTTGGCCATGTTGATGCCTGACACAGAACCAAAGCAAGACCTACCAAAATGCAAACAGCTGCATCAAAGAAAGAGAGATAAAAATTTGCAGTCAAAAGCCAATTCCCTTCCTCAAAGTCTCTTTGGAGGCGAAGGAAGCTCAGCATGCGTTTTTTTTTCCATGATGGATGTGATAAGAGAGAGACTGGCACCTCCCCTAGACCATGCATATATATAGCAGTGTGTGTATATATATGTGTGTGTGTGTGTCCGTGTATATGTGCTATACAGCCGTATGGAAGCATATACAGCCACGCCAAGGGACTCACTGCCGACAAGGACCAGGCCCGGGCAACATATTGGCTATAACTGCCCTCCTCCTGCGATGCTGTAGTCTCCACAGGCCCTCCACCCCCTCCCCACCCACCCCTTTTCTCTGGCTCGAACTTGAACGTGGAAGTGGCGGGTTCCCTCTTTGCTGGTGTCTCCCCCTCCCTCAAGCCATCCTCTTCCCTGTCCCTCCAGCCCCATCAGCTCTGAGCCCCCTGGCCTCCCACCTCCCCAGCCCCCGCCGGATAACCCCCCGTTTCTGTTGCAGATTTTGAGTTCCTGCTCCCCAGCAGCTTTGAGTCTGAAGGACATGTTTTCATTGCTCCCAGGTAGCTTGCGTGTGGCCTTGCTGAGGTGTCCTCCCCACCCCAACCGCCCTGGCCCTGCCTCCTGCACTGCTGCCTAGAGCTCTGTGTGTCTGTCCTGTGCAGTGTCACCCCCTTGCCCCCCTGCATCGCCCCATGTGTGCGGCCATGTGCATACAGGGACCATGTAGCCACACCAGGCAGCAGTGGCCAGCAGCCCACGGCTCCAGCTCCCACAGGCCTAAGGCAGGAGGGCTCTGGACTCTGCTGACCTCCCCTGACCTCCCAGGCCACCAGGAAGGAGCCCTTTCTGCCCCGGGCTCCCCATCTGCAGTAAGCCCCTCACTAAGCAGCTGCTGCTCTGGTTGGTGGTGCCCTCCCCACCCCTCCACCCTGCATTCTGTACTTGTCCTGTGTCAGTCAGCGTTCGTGTGGGTCTGGGGGCCGAGCTAGCCAGAGCCCCTGTCAGCAGTGCCGAGTCTAGGTGTGGTGGCTTACCGAGGAGGGCGGGGGCTGAAGGGAGGGGTGAAGACTTAAAGGAACTGCTCTGGCAAGTGAGGGGTCAGGGCGCAACAAGGCCCAACCTGGACCATCCCTGGAGTGGCCACTCAGCATGTACTCACACAACCTCGTGTGCACACTCTCTGCCTGCTGGCCCACACCTGAGGAGGCCGAAGGGCCCCCAGAAGCCCTCCTCTGTGACCTCAGCTGACTGAGGGCAGGTGGGTGCAGCTGACAGAGACCCATGGGCACTGGCAGGCACCATACGGGGGCTCTGGATTCCCCTCACCTCCATGTGTGCGCACGTGCGTGCATGCACTCACCAATTTTGCCGTGACTCTGTAGATGTGTGTTTGTGCTTGTGAGTCATAGTGTGTGTTTGTGAGTGTCTGAGTGTAACTGTGGGGTGGGCTGCGCACACCCCAGCGACAGTGGAAACGTGTGAGAAGGCCTGTGTGGCCCACATGACCCTGAGAGCAAGAACTGTGTTTGTTTTTGTCACCTCTGTGTCTTTGGCTCTTGACGGCTCAATAAATACATGCTGGGTGAGTGAATGAAGTGACCCACAAAGATGGACGCACATGTTTGGGGAAGGGGCTGTAGACGACTCGTATTCCAAGCACACAGACGTGCAGGCTGCGCACTGCAGAGGGCCTGGGGGCACAGACCAAGCGGGGACTGGAACCCAGGCTCAGGGGTCCTCACCCAGCACAGCCTGGGGAAGGCGCACATACTTCTTGGACTCCCACAGCTGCTGCCACGTGGGCCGTAGGGCTGCGGATGAGAGGTGGGCAGGAGAGAGCGCCGTCTGACAGGGCAGAAGGCCTGCCCGCTAACCTTCCTACGGAGCAGAGCGCCACGTGGGGCTCCCACAGCCCCCAGCCCCCGGGCCCTCTGAACCCTGAGCCTGAGCCCTGCAAGGGCCTTGAGGTGGGAGATCTGGCCTGTCCACCTCTGGAGGAAGAGCAGTCTGGGCAGAGGGGGCAGCCAGTCTGAGGACCCACGTGCTCCCACCAACTTCCTGTCATCATCTGTGGTGTGAGAAAAGGTGAAGCTCAGGGAGCCTGAGTGAGGTGCCCGAAGGTGAACAGAAGCAGCGGGGGAAGGTCTCAGCTTAGGTGCTGGTACTCTGTCCACTCTGCGCCCGCGGGACCGCGGCCCGCCAGGAGGCATTTTCCGGGGCCTCCCAGGTACACTGTCTGGGTCCATCGGCTCAAGAGAAGTGGAAGGCTCAACAGGGGCATGCCCAGGAGGGGGAATCTTCCAGGGTGGAGGAAGCAGACCTTCATTCTCAAGGCAGCTTTCCTTGTTCAGACCTGGCAGGCCTGCTGGGAAGCCTTGACCCCAGTGCCCTGCTCAGCCCCCCAAGCACACTCTTCTTGCCCCTCCCCACCCCCAGAGAGTATTGCAAGGACCTGAATGCCTCAGACAACAACACCGAGTTCCTGAAAAACTTCATTGAGCTCATGGAGAAAGTGACTCCAGACTCCAAACAGTGTGAGTACCTCCTGGGTTATCTGGGTCCTGGCAGTACCCAAGGGGCATGGGAGCAGCCTGGAGGAACCCAGAGCCTAGGCAGGTGTGGAAATGTACAGGCACAAACCCAGGGCAGGACCTGAAACCGGTCACGAGGAAGGCCCCTGCTGGAATCTCAGGCATGGGGAGGGAGGTGGGCAGAGAGCCACAAGAAGATGCCTCCTCCATGCCTGCCCTCCCATTCCAGGCAACAACTTCCTTCTGCACAACCTGATCTTGGACACGGGCATCACACAGCAACTGGTGGAGCGCGTGTGGCGGGACCAGGATCTCAACACGTAGGCACCACCCAACCTGCGGGGGCAGGAAGCTGGGATGGGCCCAGAGGCCCTGGCCCTGCCAGCAGAAGGCAGACCTGTGACCTCACCTCCCTGCTGCCCTCAGGTACAGCCTTCTCGCTGTGTTCGCCTCCACTGATGGTGGCATCACCCGCGTCTTCCCCAACAAGTAAGTGACCCACCCCAACTACCCAACATCTTGCCCCTGTTTGGGAACCTGTCTCGATCCTGCTACCCAGAGGCCTTCTGCTGAGACCACTATCCCCCACAAGCCACCCCTTCCTCCAATCTCTCTTTTGGGTGATCAGGGCAGCAGAGGACTGGACAGAAAACCCTGAGCCCTTCAATGCCAGCTTCTACCGCCGCAGCCTAGATAACCATGGCTATATCTTCAAGCCCCCACACCAGGATGGTGAGTGTCTCCCCGGGTGCCCAGCAGTAGGGGGATGCTGAGGTTTCCCTGTCTGCTCAGCCAGACCTAGACCCTGCTCTCTGAAAGCCCCCTCTCTGCTCTGTGACACAGGCTGGCTGAAACTGGGGCAGATAAGAAGAGAGAACTAGACTGTGGCAAACACTATGCTGGGTAGTGGGCACTTACCTCGGGTTAGCCTGGGCTGGGGCTCCTGAGTGTGCAGGGCCCAGCATGGAGTGGTCAGTGTGGCCACTCACTTCTGACCACACTGCCCCACCCACCCCCAGCCCTATTAAGGCCACTCGAGCTAGAGAATGACACGGTGGGCATCCTCGTCAGCACGGCTGTGGAACTCAGTCTAGGCGGACGCACGCTGAGGCCAGCAGGTAAATGCCCGTGACAGAGGCCAGGAAAGAAAAGGTACTGCAGGCAGGCAAGCATTGATGGCCCCTTGCTTTCCCCCATAGTGGTGGGTGTTAAGCTGGACCTAGAGGCTTGGGCTGAGAAGTTCAAGGTGCTAGCCAGCAATCGTACCCACCAGGACCAGCCTCAGAAGGTACTTGGGCAGGGGTGGAGGCAGCAAGCCCAGCAGTACCCATTCTGGAGGACCCTACCAGAGCTCCCACTCGGAGAGGCTCCAGTGCCTCTGGGGAGGCAGGGGCTGTTGCAGGTGGCATGGGGACCCAGACTGTGAAGGGTGATGGGAAGGGGAGAATGGTAGGCTCCTTACAGTCCTTGCTGTCTGCCCAGCAGTGCGGCCCCAGCAGCCACTGTGAGATGGACTGCGAGGTTAACAATGAGGTATGTGCATCCAGATCCCGTGTTTGCCTCAGCCCCAGGTGCAACCCTTAGCCCATCCTTTAACCTGTGGGTCAAACCTGGCCGTCTGACCTGCAGGCTTCAACATCCTCACCTGAGCTCACAGCTTAACCCAGAACTGGGAGGGGTCCTTCTACTGGCCCCACTCAGCCACTGGCAGCTAGGGCCTAGGGAGCAGTCTGGGTCTGAGCCCTGAGCCCTCTCCATTTTCTGCCCTCCTCCCCTCTTCCCAGGACCTGCTCTGTGTCCTCATCGATGATGGGGGTTTCCTGGTGCTGTCAAACCAGAACCATCAGTGGAACCAGGTGATGATCAGAAAGAAGGTGGAAGAAGGGGGCTGGGATTTGAGCCTTCTGGGGGTGTGGTACTGCCAGCCCTATGACTGCAGCTCCCTCCTGGCATCCCTAGGTGGGGAGGTTCTTCAGTGAAGTGGATGCCAACCTGATGCTGGCCCTCTACAATAACTCCTTCTACACCCGCAAGGAGTCCTACGATTATCAAGCTGCCTGTGCCCCCCAACCACCTGGCAACCTGGGTGCTGCACCCCGGGGTGTCTTTGTGGTGAGCCCCAGTGATGCCTGGTGGAGGGAGGGATACCTTCCCACAGATGACCCCCATCTCTGATGGAGAGCTAGGGGTGACCTGGGTCCAGGCAGCAGTGGCAGTCACACCCCTCTCTCCACTGCAGCCCACCATTGCAGATTTCCTTAACCTGGCCTGGTGGACTTCAGCTGCCACCTGGTGAGTCCTGGGGAGTAAGGGCGAGGACTCCAGAGAACTGGGCCAGGGCACTGGCCTCTGCTGACCACTCACTTGGTGACCCATGCCTTGCAGGTCCTTGTTCCAGCAGCTTCTCTATGGCCTTATCTACCACAGCTGGTTCCAGGCAGGTAGGTAGGGCTTTGGCGGCACCTCCGCAAGCCCCACTTCCCAACTTAGGCACTTCCCAACCTAGGTAGCCGGGGGCTTGGAGCTGAGCAAGGCAGAAGCCTCAACCTTGTCTGGGTGTACGGTGGGGCTGAGGTGCTCTGGGCCCTCACAGACCCCGCCGAGGCCGAGGGGAACCCCGACGCGCGCGAGAGCAGCTGCGTCATGAAACAAACACAGTACTACTTCGGCTCGGTGAACGTCTCCTACAACGCCATCATCGACTGCGGCAACTGCTCCAGGTGTTGGCTGGGAACCGGACGCGGGAGCCAGCCGGGAGGCAGCGGCGGGGCGGGGCCGGGAGGCAGCGGCGGGGCGGGGCCGGGAGGCAGAGCAGCGGGGGGGGGTGAGCCTGAGCCAAAGGCCCCGCCCGGCCCCGGCCGCCCCGCACCTGCTCAGCTGCTTCCAGCGCTGGAAGAAGTCCTGAGAGCCCATGTCTGTGGGCTGGAAGAACTTGTTGAGGGTGATGGGCAGCTTGACGGACACGTTCTGGAAGGTCCCCCCGTACCTGTGAGCCACCGCCAGGGAGGGCGTCACACGGCCCGC